CTTAGGTCATGATCTTGCGGTTTGTGGGTTCGAGCCCCGCGTCGGGCTCTGTGCTGGCTGCCAGCTCAGAGCCTGGAGCCTATTTCAGAGTCTGTGTCTCCCTCTCTCTCTGACCCTCCCCTGTTCACGCTGTCTCTCTCTCTCTCCTAGAAATAAATAAAAATATTTAAAAAAATAAAAAAATAAAAAAAATAAACTTTTAAAAAATTCAATTTCTCTTGGGCCACCTGGGTGGCTCAGTCAGATAAGTGTCCGACTTCAGCTCAGGTCGTGATCTCACAGCTGGTGCCGTTCGAGCCCTGCGTAGAGTGAGCTCTCAGAGCCTGCTCAGGATTCTCTCCCTCTCTATGCCCTTCCCCTGCTCATTTGTACACGCTCTCTAGGACTCTCTCTCAAAATAAATAAACTTTTGGGGTGCCTGGGTGGCTTAGTCGGTTAAGCGTCCGACTTTCGCTTAGGTCATGATCTTGCGGTTTGTGGGTTCGAGCCCCGCGTCGGGCTCTGTGCTGGCTGCCAGCTCAGAGCCTGGAGCCTATTTCAGAGTCTGTGTCTCCCTCTCTCTCTGACCCTCCCCTGTTCACGCTGTCTCTCTCTCTCTCCTAGAAATAAATAAAAATATTTAAAAAAATAAAAAAATAAAAAAAATAAACTTTTAAAAAATTCAATTTCTCAAAAGTACCAAACATGGTGTTTTTATTGCTAATATTTACTAAATGCTTACTGTTGCCCAGATACCATCCCAAGCAGTCTTACTTCCTTCAATCTTCTCGACAATCTACAAGAGAAACAGGTTCTATCATTATCTTTCCTATTTTTTAAAATAGGGAAACTGAGGCACAAAAATGTTAACTGATTTCCTCAAGGTAATAATAACCAGAAGTAGCATAAGCCAGGATTTGAATCCAGGCCGTCTGATCTCAGAACCTATGTCTACAGCCACATTAAGCCACCCTCCTTCTCTCGCAATTCTAAGTTCATTTTGTCTCTCAAGTTACACTGTAAACAGACTAATTCTTTAAAAATCCTCTATAGTTTTCACCCAAGTTACAACCAAGGTACAATGAGTTAATTCTCCCATCAACTCTGAAAACTCCTGGCTCTCTAGAACTTTCTCTTACTCTCCCACTAGGCCAAAGTGGAAAAAAAAGCAGTGCTAGCAAGAAAAAGTAAGTGCCAGCAAGAAAACAGAAACAAGCCAGGGTAGGCAGACAAGGACTGCAGAAACAAAGAGAAAGAAAGAAAACGAAAACAGGAAAACTGCAGTGCAGAGAGTTCCAGCAAAGAACAGACAAGAGAGAGGAAACTGGTACAGGACAAATGAGGAAAAACGGAAACCTGAGTATCAAGATGCTGCCTTCAGCACCTGTGATGATTTATTTATCCACATCCTTTTTCCAGTGCACATACGAATTCTTTAATTTTATTCCCCAGGCAGGTCCCTCGGGCGACATTCTGGTTAACTGAGTGTTCTGCATGCTGCTATTTTAACAGCATTGATCATGAGGAATCTCAACTCTACAATTATAACCAACTGATTGACTGCATTTCCCATTTTCTTTCGGTCAGTAACAATGGACAAGCTTAACCCAAATGAATGCATGCGACTTTTAAGGAAAAGTGCTACCAGTAATCATTGGTAGGATGCTAGTGATAAAATTCTTGGCCACTCTCTTTCGGGTAAATCACCCTCTCATGTATTTCTAAAAAAGTGAAATGCTGTTCTCCGAGTATTACTTCTCAAACAACTCTTCAGAAAATACTTTCCCTTAGACATACCTAAAAATCACTTGATCAGCATCTGTGTAAGCCAGTGGTTAAAACAATTTCATGTTAATGATACCACGCAGTTATGAGGAGAACTGCAATCTCTACACTTATGTTTTCAAAGAAGAATGAAACCAGGTAGAACTGAATTAGGTGGAATGCAGTGTACAAGCTAGTCAGCAGTAATAACAGGAAAGGTTAAGTGTTCAGTGATTTGTCAGTGTTTTATTCACAGCTCTTTAATAACAACCTGGAGAAGGGCCCTGGTCTTTCCTATTTTGTTTTGGAACACGGGATCAATCTATGGAGCATAAAAAATGACAGAATATGATTGTAAACTAATCCCATTCCTCCTACCTCATTTGAGTTACTTTCTTCCAAAAGGAAATCCATTGGGGCGCCTGGGTGGCTTAGTCGGTTAAGCGTCCGACTTTCGCTTAGGTCATGATCTCACGGTTCGTGGGTTCGAGCCCCGCGTCAGGCTCTGTGCTGACTGCCAGCTCAGAGCCTGGAGCCTGTTTCAGAGTCTGTGTCTCCCTCTCTCTCTGACCCTCCCCTGCTCATGCTGTGTCTCTCTCTCTCTCCTAGAAATAAAAAAAAAAAAAAAAAAAAAAAAAAGGAAATCCATTATAATAAAGGAAAAAAATCTTTCTCAACACTTGTGTCCCAAGAAAAAGCCAGAAACCTCCATCTTAAGGACAGGTTTTTGTAGTCATTCTTAAAAGTGAACCAAATCAGCGTGCCCAGCTGCTCAGTCAGTGGAGCAAGTGACTCTTCGTCTCAGGGTCCTGAGTTCAAGCCCCATGTCCGGTGTGTAGCTTACAAAAAAAAAAAAAACACCAATCACTGGAGGTACCTGGGGCTTGGAAATGGGGGCGAGTGGGCAGAAGAATTCTGGGCTCCAGGTGCTCAGCACCTCCCCCATCTAAGTGTCAAGTTCAGGCCTATCACTCCTTTTCTGGCTCCCAGATTTTAGACTCTGTGGTGGAGACGGGATGCCTCAGCCATCTCCGGGAGAAGATAATAAATACTAGTGCCATAAATAAGTTGATAAATGACTGAGAGGGGTAAAAATTTTTAAAAAGCCAAGATTATTTAGTGTTCTAATTTTATCCTATACTTAAATCCATGGCTCCTCTTAAAATCGGAGACTCATTAAACTTTTAATTTCGTAATCCTGGACTCTCAATCAGCTTTCAAAGTAACCTACAGTAACCAGTCCGAATTCTTTTTGGTTCTCTAAGACTTAGTTTTAAAGTCATGAAAAGCTTTCATGAAAATCTAGAAATCCATTTCCCACACTTAAAATTAAGTTTAATTTTGCACCACGGTGAGCGCCTTGCCTCTCAAGGCTGCACCGCCTGGGAACCAGGGAGCCCGGCACACGACAGGCCCCACCCCAGACCTGAGGAATCGGGACGTGAGAGGCGGGGCCCGGCGACAGCGTTTGAACAAGCCCTCCCGGGGTTGCTGATGCTCAGGCCGTTTTGAAAGCCACTGGCTTAGGGCGTGAGAGTCACACCGGCTAGGTTCAAATCTTGGTAGTCAAGGCCGACTTGCTGAGTAATCAAGAGTAAATTACGCCGCTTCTCCAGACTTGTTCCTCATCTACACAGGGGAATTACGGGGTTGTTTTGAAGATCAAATAAGAAAACAGGCGTTAAGTGCTTAAAAGCGATGCCGAGCACTTAAACATTCAAAGGTTAGCTGTTGTTACTACCGTATACAAGGCCCTCGGACGGGGGGGTGCACCGGGAGGGAGACAAAGGCGGAAAAGGCTTAATCCGTAGCCCTCCTACCTACTTACTGACTAGTACACAAAACCACCAAACACACTCCTTGGGAAAATAAAATAAAGATGCCCTCCTAGGAGGGGCAAACGAGTTGATTGGGACATCGTACGAAGCAACAACACATTCTGACCGAACAATGCACGAGGCGGCTTTAAGTGATGCCTATAAACAAGGAGAGAGAGCCTCAAGAGAAGGAAGTCCTTCGGGCCGCAAAGTGAGAGCCAAGGTCCGAAGAAGTAGGCAAAAGGAAAGCAGCGCCAGACAGTGGAACTCTGCGGCTGAAAAACTGACAAATACACAGTCGTAGTAGAAAAAAATAAAAGGTCATTCCAAGTCGTAGGCTTCGGCTTGGGAAAAGGCTCGGCCTCCTCGGGGCACTCTAGTGCATCCACATTTGCTAACTAACTTCCCCTTTTTGTGTCCTGAACACCCAAAGACTACTTTTCCGCAAGGCCTATCAAGCCATTGTCTGCAAGAGGTGAGAAGTCTGCACGGGGCCAGCCCGTCAGCAGGAGCCAGCACTGCTCCAACAGTCTAAGTAGACATCTGAACATTCTCGGCTGCAAAACGACAAAAGCAACCCAAAAACCCCAACCTGCTTTACTAAAGGGCAAAAGTCGGATCCAAGGGGAGGGAGGGAGAGGGAAGGGAAAGAGGATAGTTGTTTTCTCTTCTTCCCTCCCCGCAAACCCGTCTGGGTGCCGGCGGGATCCAGACGGCTGATTTCCATGGCCCGAAGGCTGAGGTTTTCCTTCCGGTCATTGTGTTTATTTCCCCCAAAGAACAGGGCCCGCGGGGCCGGCGCGGTGGCCCGGCCCGGGACAAAGCCCACTCCGGGCTCCACCTGGGCGCGGGCAGGGGCGGGGAGGGGCGGCGCTCGCGGGCCCGCCGGCCGCAGTTACCAGGCAGCGCAGCGGCGCCGCCCCGGCAGCCCGCCGGCCAATCCGGCGCGTCTGCTGCCCGGGCGCACGAGCCCCGGAGACACCAGGCCGAGCGCGACCCCACGGCTCGGGCCTGGCACCGCGCGCGCACCCGCACCGCCCGAGCTGGCCAATCAGCGGCCGGGCATGCGCAGCCCGCAGGCTCGCTCGCGCGCGGGCCTCACGCGTGAGGCCCCCCCACGCAGCGACAGCGCGCGCGCCCCTCCCCCACGCGCACCCAGGCGCGCGCGTGCAACTGTCGTCCCCCGCGACCGCGTCTGCTCCTGCCCCACCCCCAACGCCGGCTGGCCGTGGGGGGGGGGGCCGGGTACCCCAACACTGCCGCCGACGGCCCCCAGACCCCAGTCCGTGCAGGCCCCGGAGGGGGCGCGTCTCAAATAAAGGCCCTGCTAGCGATGGCAACCGGGGCGGGGGACGGGGGATGAGGCGACAGGGACTCACCCGAGTGCAGCCGCCTCCAGGCAGCGCCGGGGCCGGGGGAGCAGAAGGGAAGCGAGTGTGGGCCGCGCGAGAGCTGCAGCCGCGGTGGAGCAGCTTCGGGCTGAGGCGAGCTGGCGAGCGGGCAGGAGGTGAGAGGGCGAGGGGCCCGGGCGTCTCGGCCGAGCTCCTGTCACCGCCGCATGGCCGCCCCGGCAGGGCCTCGCTCAACGCCTAGATCCGATCACAGGGGACCGAGGGAGAGGCCGGGGTAACCGCGGCAGGCGGGCGGCCTCAGCTAGAGAGCGCGTGCGGGGAAGCGGGGGGGCGATCGGTGGCCCCTTTTCTCTGCTCTCCGAGCTTCTCTCTCACCCTCCTCCTCCTCTTTTTTTTTTTTTTTTTTTTTTTGTTCCTCGAAGGCGCGCTGCGCGTGCGCACCCGCAGCGCCGCCCAGCGGGAGTTGTAGTTTCTGATCGGTCCCCACCAACGCGGCGGCGGGGGCGGCGGACTACGACTCCCAGGAAGCCTCGCGCCCACGAGCCCCGAACCCGAGGACGCGGCGAGCGCGGCGCCCGGCCCTCTCCGGCAAGGACTGTCAATGGAGGCGCGGGTGGTGGGAGCAAGAACATGGCTGCACCTGGGGCCTGCGCGGCCGCCTGGGTGGGGGAGGGGAGCCGGGACATGGGGGCGCAAATCTAGGCCGGGGGTGGCCCTCGCCCGCTCACTGCCCGGATGCGGCCGGCCTCAGCCACAGTTCAGGACCTGCCCTCACTCTTGCACCCCAGATTCCCTGCCGATTGCGAGGCCGGAACTCGGCAAAGGCCGGGGAGCCCCAGCCGGCCTGCCGCTCTCGGTGCTCCGCCAAGGGACTTCCTCCGCGCTGCACCACCCTCCGGGACACAAAGAACTCCTGTTAGTTTTGAAAGCTTGCCTCAAAAGCGGCCGAAAGAGAATGTTGCCCCAACTTTTGGACGGACGATGGGAGGGGACTCTCCTGTTTTTATTTTCCGCCCCCCCCCGGCTTGCTTTCCGCACGCCCTCTCACTCATCATTTAGAAGGAAAGTTGAGGCAAAGCCACTGAATGAGAGCAGAAAACCTGCCTTGTAGCCCGTTTTGTTCTGTCAAGCGCGTAGAAATGTTACCGAAACCTCTCCCCCCAACTAACTGGTTTGCTTCTCAACTTGAGCTCTCGAATTCCGAAAATGATGAGACATGGCTGTTCACCTAAGCGAAACGCAAAAAGTTTACCAAACTCGAGCCCCGAGGTCTTAGCTCTGTAAAGCACGAGATGGAGTGATTTTTTGCGATTTTTACCCCCCAGCGGAGACGGGGGGAGGTGTGGGGGGGACCGCACGCCGGCCATCCTCCCCCTCCCCCTCCTCCTCGGTAGGTGGCGACCACGGCGCTTTTTCCAGCCTTTGTCGCTGGAAACAAAACTTTCCGAGAGCAGCCAGGCTTTTGATGTAGGTCCAAGACCTTCCCTTTGAGTCTTCGTTCACAGATTGGCGGTTCCCCATCTTTCTTGCCATAGACCGCACCCACAAAGGCGGCCGAATCCAGAATTTCCATGTCGGGATTCTTTAAGATAGCTGGATGGAGACTTGTAAAGATTCCCGCGGAAGCGGTCCGATTGCAGATTTCCACATTTTTCACGGTTTCCCCTGCAGCGTTTTGCAGGCATTTTGTCCCCGCCTGACTCGGCTGGGACTCTTCCTTTGTCGAGTCCCTCCGAAGCGTTCGTTTCGTCGTCATGAGGCGTTTGCTTTTTGCACTCGTATTTCATTAACGTGTTGGAATATTTGATTAAACGCCGTATGCCCAGTAGCACGTAAAACTGACATGTATGTAGGGAACACACGTTAACTTTGGGAAAAGTCTGCAGTTGAGCTGATGGGGAGCAGTCAGCCTTCCAGGGGCAAAAAACCACTCAGAGGCTTTGAGCACCGGTGAGTATGTTTGTCGCAGGCTGCAGGACACTGGAGGTTGAGGACAGTGAAGGAAGGATTCACTGGGTGCACTGGTGTCATGGAGTAGCAGTAGGGAGTGTTAGAAAGTGAGCTGGCAAGGCCAAAAAAAAAAAAAGTTCATTGGGTCAAGATTCTGCTTGTGATCATTAAAAACTTGTTTGGGAGATAGCCCCTGGCTTCTACGAATTTAACACTTCAGTGTGGGATTTTCAAACAGCTGCTTCATGAGCAACTCCAACGCCTTGTTAAAATCCTAAATTTGAGTTTAAAAACTTGTTAAATCCTGAAGCACTTTCTCACGCCTTAGCTAGCTTTGAATTGCAGCTAGATAAAAAGCTGGCCCTTTGGGGACAAGGAACAGCAAATGGAAGGGTGTGTGGTTTGAACAGTGTGTGGAGGCCAACTCTTTTTTTTTTTTTCCCCGCCTACTGCTATTGGGGGCTGTCACCCTCAAATTTATGTCTTCTAGTCACAGATGCACTTTTAGAGTCTTCCCTAAGGCCTGGCTCACCACCTTGGCAGTTCCTGTTACACTTGTTGCTTTTCATTAGCCATTTTGCCCCTCACCTTGGGGTAGGTGTTATGTCAATATGTTAATCATGACCCTGGCAATGAGCAGATGAGCGGCTGAATACCATCTCAGCACAGCAAGTTGTTCCTCCCCACCCCCCACCCCAGGATCATATTGCTGTTTTTGGGGGTTGAGCAACAGATGAAAAAAAAACAAGCGATTTGTGTTCAGGGGTGGAATCCTTTGTTAAAGTGCCCTCAGCTCACTGTGTTCAGAATCACATTGAACAGAGCAAGGTGTATACACTAAGCCTGATCTGAGGCTCTTGGATCGTGCTCACTTAAGACAAAAGTGTACACAGGCCAACAGGCGGCAGAATCTTGCATGTTATTTATTTTGGATTATTTCAAACATTTCTCTTTTTGACGTGTGACCTAGTGTGCACAGTCCTGCAGATGAGCATCCATATAGAATGACTCCATTCTACTGAACACCTGGGAAACAGAAGCCAAGTCTAATGGGCCTTGGCCAGTCGAGAGATGGGTCCCCACCAACTGTGAACTCGTCCACCAGGCACAAATACATCTTCCTATAGACTGAGTTTACAGCCTTGTTGACTACTTTTTTGCATTTAAGTTTATTTTGAGAGAGACAGAGACAGCTCAAGTGGGTAAGGGGCAGAGACAGAGGGGAAGAGAGAGAATCCCAGGCAGGCTTCTGGCTACCTGCACAGAGTACGATCCGGGGCTTGAACTCCTGAAACCACGAGATCATGTCCTAAGTGGAAACCCAAGAGTCAGACGCTTCATCGACAGAGTCACCCAGGGGACCCCACTACTTTTAAAGAGCAAGTGGTGATGTTTGAATGTCTTCACCAGTCTTAAAAAACAATCAGGGGCCCCTGGGTGGGTCAGTTGGTTAAGGGGCCCACCTCAGCTCAGGGCATGATCTCGCAGTTCATAAGTTGGAGCCCCACGGTGGGCTCTGTGCTGACAGCTCAGAGCCTAAGCCTACTTCAGATTCTGTGCCTCTCTCTGTGCCCCTCCCCTGCTCTCTCTCTCAAAAATAAATAAACATTAAAAATTAAAACACACACACACACACACATTCTCCTAGGGTTTTTAATGCGTGGTGTAAGGGGTCTGCCTTCTCCTTTATCCTGGGACCATTTATCATGGATCCACCCTGGATAGGAAACTCTGACCACTCATGCGGACAGAACCATGTTCACACCACTTGGTCAAGGTTACTGTTGTTGAGAGATCATTTAGTGCTGTTTCTAAAGATCCTTTTTTGGGGGTGCCTGGGTGGCTCAGTCTTAAGCTTATCTGCCTTCAGCTCGGGTCATGATCTCACGGTTCATGGAGTTGAGCCCCGTGTTGGACTCTGTGCTGACAGCTAGCTCAGAGCCTAGAGCCTGTTTCAGATTCTGTGTCTCCCCCTCTCTCTGACCCTCCCCTGCTCACGCTGTCTCTCTCTCTCTCAGAAATAAATAAACATTAAAAATTTTTTCAAATACATAAAGATCCTTTTTTGAATCCAAACTGAATAATTTAATCTTTCTGCGACTCTGTCATGTATTTTAGATTTCCCAAAACCATAATTCTAAGCAAAAGTTGAAGTGCTCTTGACATAACCCATTTTTCACAACACACCGTTTTTATTGTTTATGTTAAAGATATATTTTGAATTTTTAAATAATATCTAGGGGCACCTGGGTGGCTCAGTCGATGAAGCGTCCAGCTTCCACTCAGGTCATGATCTCATGGTTTGTGAGCTCGAGCCCCATATCAGGCTCTGTGCTGACAGCCCAGAGCCTGGAGCCTGCTTTGGATTCTGCGTCTCCTTCTCTCTCTGCCCCCTCCCTCACTCTTTCTCCCCCCGTCCCCCCAAATAAATAAACATTTTTAAAAATTTAAGTAATATCTACACCCATCATGGGACTTGAACCCACAACCCTGAGATCAAAAGTCCCATGCTCTATCAACTGAGCCAGCCAGGCTCCCCAGTCTTTATTTTATTTTATTTTATTTTATTTTATTTTATTTTATTTTATTTTTATTGAAATATAGCTGACATAATTTACATTAGTTTCAGGAAGACTTCCAGGCTTTTGATGGAAATTAAACAGAGGTCTTTTTTCCCCATAATGGCACCTGATGCGGGCCCAATATCTTCTGGGTCCAATTTCTTGGTTTTTCTTTACAGTGTATATAAGCGCAGTTTATTGTGAGAATGAGCCATAAAATATATATCATTTGTAAGGTACCAGTTTGATCTCTTATATCAGTGTTCTCGGTTAGGATTTGCACAACTCCGTCCAAATCACACAGGTTGGACCCTGGTAACATTGTTAGATTTTGGAGGCTATGTGCATGCTAGAAAGACAAATCCTTTGTTACTACATGGATACTTTTTTTTTTTTAAGTTTATTTATTTTTGAGAGAGAGAAAACATAAGTGGAGTAAAGGGCAGAGAGAGAAGGAAAAAGAGAAAATCCCAAGCAGACGCCACACTGTCAGCACAGAGCCCAATGTGGGGCTTGAACCCAAGAAGCACAAGATCACAACCTGAGCCGAACTCGGATGCTTCACAAACTGAGCCACCCAGGCGCCCCTCCAAGTATACTTTTTTAACTGATTATAAAACACTGGTCTTAGACAGTTTTGTCTTTGGATAATTTGGATATTTAGAATGCTAGATAAATGACCTTTTCCAGAACTCTTCCAAAAGTGGGGGAGGGACAAAAAACTAGATCCAAGCTATAATTTATTTATAATAATAATGTATATGTGATCTAAACAGACCTTCCAGCTCTTGCTGCGCCCTTCATGCAAGCATCTGTCCTATGCAATAAACCTACTATTCATGTAAAATTCATTGAAATAAACAGGTTTTTGGCAGGGGGGTGGTTTACAGGATTGAGATGAATATGTTTTTCTATTTTGCATTATGTTCCAATTACTGTAGTCATGTAACATTTTTTTATTTTTTTAGCTTTATTTATTTTGATAGAGCACGTGTGCACATCAGGGGAGGGTCAGAGAGAGAGAGAGAGAGAGAGAGGAAGAGAGGGAAAGAATCCCACACTTCCCCGGGGAAGAGCCAGATGGGGGACTCGAACTCACTAACGGGGAGATCATGACCTAGAGCCAAAATCAAGAGTCCGATGCTTAACCGACTGAGCCACCCAGGCGTCCCATGTAACTTAATTTTTAAAAAGCAAAAGCTCTGTAATATTTTCTCCACTTCCCTCAGGGATTTGGGGGAGTCAGATGATATGTTAACGAAAATACTTTAGAAACTCTAAGTTGAGTGTTCTATAAATATTACATGGTATAATTTAGCCCTCCAAACATTATTTTTAAATGTGAACAGCCCGTCCATGTTTCTTTTCTGACTGAGGAAATATATTGCTCCTTGTTAAAATGCTTTATATTCTAATATTTGACGAAATACATTTACCAAGGCTGACTCTTATCATTGAATTAAGGTGAACCTGTTATCATATGTGACTGATAAGATGCTATAACTAATAAACTAAATGGTAATATAAGCAGCACACCCTTTCAGAATATAGGTCGATCAAAACTATTGTAGAGGACTCAGAAACCTCAGTGTAAAGTTGTGTCGAGGAAAATTATTTCCAAAGCAGATGCGTGACCTACAGCCTTGCTTTGTTAACACCAAGAAAAGGAACCTCATTTATATACTAGAAACAGATATCCCATTCCTTCCTTCTTCTCTTTGTCCAGATTCTTGAGTCTTTATCTTTGCATTTTACAACCCTTTCCTTTTTTTCTGGTGAAAAATGCTTTTTTTTTTTAAAGGATTGTATTTTATTCTATTTTTTAAATATTTATTTTGAGAGGGAGAGAGGGGAGGGGCAGAGAAAGAGAGAGAATTCCAAGTCGGCTCCGTGCTGCACAGAGCCCGACTCGGGGCTCGAACTCACAAGCCATGAGACCACAACCTGAGCCGAAATCAAGAGTCAGACACTTAAACGACTGAGCCACCCAGGTGCCCCCATAACCACCTTTTTAACCCCCTTTCAAGACCTTGTGTTTATTTTTTTTTAATGTTTTATTTATTTCTGAGAGAGAGAGAGAGAGAGAGACAGCTTGAGCAGGGGAGGGTCAGTAAGAGAGGGAGACACAGAATCTGAAACAGGCTCCAGCTCTGAACTAGCTGTCAGCACAGAGCCCGACGCGGGGCTCAAACCCACAAACCGTGAGATCATGACCTGAGCCTAAGTCGATTGCCCAACCGACTGAGCCACCCAGGTGCACCAAGACTTTGTGTTTATTATAATAATTAAGGTACCTGCGCTTGGGGAAGTTTTCAACTAAGAATAAAGGGAGTTTTTGAACAATGGATTAGAAAGGAGGAAAGAAACCAGTGAAAATGAAGCTGTTCAAATGTGAAATGAGCTGCCATGGCTGTGTCAAGTACATCCAGTGGTCTTCCTAATGGTGGGAAGGTGTTAAGTCATCCTCTCCTTTCCCCTGGACCTGGCTGGCCAGCTCTGGGTTGTACCTGGGGTCTTAGACTTCATTTATTGCAGCAAAGTGTGCTGCCCCCTCCCAAATGAACTCAGATTGGCCCCGAGATCATCGAAGAAGGTGAGGGACACATAAGCAACTAGAAAGAATCCTAGTATGTATTCCAACTCTGGAAAGCTTGTGAGACTGTCTCAGTTGTCCAGATAAAGCTGAGCGTTCCTTTCATTCAGTGCCACATATTGTGCTGAATTATTGCATTGCACGCTGACCCCCTCGCTCCCCCCTCCCCAGCCCAGACACACACACCTAGCCCTGTGCTGGATGCTTGGAACCCTCCCCTTTGCTCAGAAAGGTTGAATTACTTAGCCAAGGATACATAGATGGCAAAACCTAGACTCTAATCTAAATCGACCTGTATCCAAGCCTGAATTTTTTTTAAAATTTTTTTTAATGGTTTATTTATTTCTAGGAGAGACAGAGAGAGAGACAGTGTGAGCAGGGGAGGGTCAGAGAGAGGGTCACAGACTCTGAAACAGGCTCCAGGCTCTGAGCTGGCAGTCAGCACAGAGCCCGACGCGGGGCTTGAACCCACGAACCGCAAGATCATGACCTGAGCGAAAGTCGGACGCTCAACCGACTAAGCCACCCGGGCGCCCCTCCAAGCCTGAATTCTGAACTGCTACTATTTGTAGGCTACAGCCATCTCATCCAGCCAGATATAAGCAAATACAGGGTATACTCAGGCTCATGCCATGAGATGGTACCAGAAGGTTGGAGGTAAAGCTGGACATTTTGCATGGAAGGGGTAGCATTTGCAATGAATGAATGCATGGGACTTTTTTTAATGTTTCTTTTATTTGTCAGAGAGACAGAGTGAGAGAGATACACACACAGAGACAGAGCATGAATGGGGGAGGGGCAGAGAGAGAAAGGGATAGAATCCGAAGCAGGCTTTAGGCTCCCAGCTGTCAGCACAGAGCCCGATGCAGGGCTCGAACCCACAAACTGTGAGATCATGACGTGAGCCAAAGTAAGACACTCAACCGACTGAGCCACCCAGGCGCCCCTGGATGGATGGAATTTTTAAAACTAGAATAA